TCTCAAAAACAAACCAAACAAGCTCCAAAATTCTATATAATGTAAAAGGAAAATGGCTCATACACCCACTGGGGGTCGACCCCCAGTGAGGTGGCAGTCCATAATTGGATAAAAAAAAAACTATTTTTTTTTTTGGGTTTCGGCCAGTGGGGGCGCGACACCTCATTGGGGGTGCGACCCCCACTGGGAGTATGCAGCAGGATTGAATATAAAAAGTATTTCTCTTGTATAAATTATATGTAGTATTTGATTTTCATCTTTATGATTGTAATTCATCATTGGATTTGTAATATTATATAAGAATCCAATAATTCTACGGCTTCGTTTGGGAAGTGGATTGGCTTTTTGACTTTTCGTAATTATTTTAGCCTGAGACTAAAAAGTCTGGTTTGAAAATGACTTTTGACATTTTTTTTTTGATTTTTTTTGTGAGAGAAAGAATGTAATGATTATAGGTTAGATGTGATGTTTTGTCTTATTAGACTAAAAAATTTATTTTATTTTTTGTGACTATTTTAATCAAAAAATCCTCAAACCTAACTTCCCAAACATAGGCTATGAACCCACTTAGCTACTCTAATTTATCCCGAATGAAAGTGTGTGATTGAAATTAAATTTATACAATATAAGGTCTATGTGTATAATAAAGATGATAATTTTAAAATTTTCTAAATAATTAAATCTGAATTCATATTATTTCTAAAATGAATCATATATATATATAAATAAAAGCCCACTTGTACGCATATTATTCAAAGAGAAACTTTTCAAACTTTCCTACAAATATTTTCCACAAGTGGACATTAAACAGTATAGACCAATCAATTCCTATGGTTGTTGTATGGACCAATCAATGCCTACGGTTGTTCGTAGCCACTAGTAAGGAACACAAGCACATACTCCCTCCCTTCTAAAATAATAATTCTTTTTTAAGAATTTAACTTTTTTATAGTAATATAATTATTACATTTTAAAAATATAATTTTTTTATAGATTTCAAATAAATTATCAAATATTCTATCAAACCTCTACAATTATTACATTTTAAAAATATAATTTCTTTTATAGATTTCAAATAAATTATCAAATATACTATTAAATCTCTCACATAGGTGTGAGATCTACACGCATGTGATTTGTGTAGATCTCACACCCATGTGAGAGATTTGATAGAATATTTGATAATTCATTTGGGGTCCCTAACATGACTCTTTTCAAAATTACCATTTGATTGTACATTTTTAAAAAAATATCAATTGTCATAATTATACTTTTTATATTGTTAATGAATTTAAAATAATGACAAAATAAAAAATTCATATTATTTTAGTGATTGATTTTTGAAAATAGATTAATATTTTGAGATAATAAAAAATAAAATAAGAGACTAATGTTTTAGGGCAGAGAGACTCGTACAATTTGGTATGATCTATATTAGTACAATTTTTTTTTCTCTTTTTTATATTGTTAATGAATTTAAAATAATGACAAAATAAGAAATTCATATTATTTTGGTGATTGATTTTTGAAAATAGATTAATATTTTGAGATAATAAAAAATAAAATAAGAGACTAATGTTTTGGGGCAGAGAGACTCGTACAATTTGGTATGATCTATATTAGTACAATTTTTTTTTCTCTTTTTTTTTTTTTTGGTCATATCATTTTTTTATTTTTATTTTTTTATATATTTTTTCGTAAAAAGTCAAAAAACAAGCTTATTTAGATCATTCTAAAAAGACAGGTCATTAAACCACCTTTTCATGGAATTGGAGTTGGCACAACAGCCTACTGTAAGGGCCATTAAAGACGTGTCTTGAGTCTTTTTTAATGATTTGAACAGTTTATATTGTAAGGTTCGTCAAGTCAATTATCCATACAAAAAATGAAGTAATTTGAACATTTATAACCTTATAATAATAGCACATTTGTTTTTCAAAAAATAAAGGCTTACTATGATTTTAATAATTTTTTAAAAACAATTACAACTTAATCATAGGGTTATAGATGTCTGATTAATTTAATTTTTTATATGAATGATATACTCAATATATTTTTTTTTATCAGCAAAAGATAAATTTTATTGATGAACCAAAAGAGAATTACATCAATAAAAAAAGCGATGAGTGCAAAGAGCATCAAAGCGAAACAAAAGTTGGTGAGTAACCAACCGCACTAAAAAGACAACCAAAACAAAAGACACACTGCCAAGCACACACAATATGAACAGTTTAAATGATCAAAATACACTTGGTAAATACCTTTACAAGCCCTCATAGCAGGGCTGTTGTGCCATAAGGCGCAGCAGAAACCCTCAACCCCCTTTTCATCTCTTAACCATTTTTAAAAAGGAATGGCTTGTCTCCAGTTGAAATTTCAACTGGACCAGACAATTGAGGCCTCAGACCAATCAAAGTTATTAAATGGAAGATTCTGATCAGTAAGAGTCATGTTTTCATAAATTCTTAATGGTAAAAATCTTCCGTTTAATAACTCATATCGATCAGAGACTCTAATTTTTTGATCCAATTCAACTTTCAACTTTCAACTGGGGACAAATCAAATCTTTTTGAAAACACTTATAATGATTTATGTACATTGTGAATATTCGTTGGGGATTGTTTTGTTATATGTTTTAACAAAAGAAAAAAAATGTTCAGCTTTGTTTCTACTAAAAACAAAATTAATTATTTATAGCCCTTTGATACATGTCATAGTTAGTGTATTTTACTATATATATATTATAAGTCGGTAATTCATTGTCAATAATAATTTACATATTTTATAAGTCGTTGATTTATATATTTATGACATGTAAAACTATACCGTAAATACATATATTTTACAGCTCGTAAAAACAATTTGAGACGTATATATATTTCAGTATTTATAATTACATTTTTTACCTTTATAATTTTTTCTAAATTTTATTTTGATCCCTATTGTTTCAAATTGAACAATTTAGTTCATACAATTTAAGTTCAATTTCAATTTTTGTCCAAATTTTTATTAATTTTTTATACTTATTCATCTCTTAATATTGTCAAATGTTTTAAAATTATTAATTTTAATTTCTAAGTTTGAATGGAATGTCTAAATTGAAATTAGACCTAAAATATATCGATCAAATTATTCAATTTGAGATTATAATTTAAATCAAATTATAAAAGTTAAAAGTATAATTTACCATATATAACCCTAGTTCGGATTCAGATAATAATTTTAATCAAACTAATATTAAGATAATCAAATTATTTTTACCAAATAAGTGGCACATTGCATATCATGAATGTATTGATACATACTTGGAAGCTGATATTTAGTAGTGATATGACAATCGATCCAGTGATTTATGGACTTATTTTTTGGGACAGTAAAAATGCTAAAAGTTCAAGTTTCAAATCAATAAAGCGATTACAATCATCTATTATAATTTAATTTACTAACGTCTAATATCCTACCGTATGCCAACATGTGATATTTATTAAATCAACATACTAATATACTAATAATACATCATTTGCTCGGAAACTTCCTGTTTGATTCCAGAATAACTATATAGGATTAGACTGTTAATCCTATCAAATTAATATTCCTACATGTGGATCACACAAATAGCATCTGACTTAGTAATACGTAAGACTCTTAATCTTACAAAATTATAGTATATTTAATACTAAAGGAAGGTAGGTATTAACAATCCTTTGCATAATTATCCCATGAGATTATTAATCTCATAGAATTGTTAATCCCATCATTAACAATCCACCTAATCAAACAGGGCCTTAATATATAAATTTGATCATTGCATTATTAATCTTGTAATCGAACGCTTTTTCAAAGTTTTACTGATGATCGAACGGCTTAGATATATTTAATGCAGACAAATCCGCTACCCCAACCACATGCAAATATATATTCTTTAAATAAATTACTCTTGGCCTCTATATGTTTGGCCATCTTCTTGTTTTGGTTTTTAGAATTTTTTTTTCTTACTTTGCCCTTCACTTCAAGTCTTTGTTTTTTTAATTTATCCAAAAGATAATTTATATTATCCAAATTTAAATAGAAAATGACACATTAACAATCACGTAATATAAAAATATTTTATTATATATAATTCACATTTCTTTCACAAATCTAGACTCTAAGATAATAGAGAAATACTATGGTATACACCTCTCAAATGGTGTGTATCATATTCACCTTATAATTTTCATATCTTTTGAGTCATAATTAAAAAAATATAATCAAATACTACATGAGACATAACTAAAGATCTCACAAGTCATAACTAAAGAAAAAAATTAGTTATAACTAAAAAAGAAAATGACATAACTAAAGATACATGTAATACACTCCTTTCAAGAGGTATGTATAGTAGAATTTTTCAATATAATAATATATTTTTTATATTATGTAACGGCTAATGTAATATTCTTTGTTTAATTTTAAACACAAGTTAATTTGAAAAGTAAATTAAAAAAAAATTGAAACATATCAAAATAAATAAAGAAATAATTTAAGAATCAAAATGAAAAAAGAAACAAAACAAAACAAACTAGCCATACCGGGATAAAGTGTAATTTATTCATATTTTTTTATATTGGTCAAACGAGCTGGAAGATGCAAAGGCCGAGTAAGAGCTGATTAAGACATGTCGGCACCATTTACACCCTCCAGCCACCTTATATGATCAGCATTCACATAAGAAAACAAAGAGCACGAGTTAGAGAGAGAAAATCTCATGTTTGTTTGTTTGTTTATTTTTTTTTTCTTAGAGAGAGAAAGTCAAAGGAAATGGCAAAGTCATCACCCTCTACACTTTGCCCAAACCCACACCCCATTATTTATGACCAAATACGGTTGGCATATCCTTGAGCCTTTCAATATCCTAGAAAGTCGTCTCTCTCTCCAAACACTCCTATTTTCCGTGTTTTGACTTTCACATTTTTTGAATACTCTCCGCACACGCACAAGACATATATATATAACCTAACCTTCTCTCTACTCCTACTACAACATCTTCAAACCAAACCACAACTCCCCAACAGCTACACCTCCTACTTTCAATCAACAAAGGGTTTATATTTCCATTTTCATCATCAAATCTTCCTGGGTTTTCTTTATTTCATAGTTCTCTAACTAGGGTTTTCCTCAAATTCACTATATTTGCCTTAGGGTTTTGAATCTTGATTTTCTTGAGTTTTTCCAATGGCTGATGTTGAAGTTCCTCCATATTTCATCTGCCCCATCTCTCTAGAAATGATGAAAGATCCTGTAACCGTCTCCACCGGAATCACATATGACCGAGAAAGCATCGAGAAATGGATATTTTCCGGGAAAAACAACACATGCCCGGTAACCAAACAAGTCCTCTCATATACAGAACTCACCCCAAACCACACTCTTCGCCGGTTGATCCAATCATGGTGTACTCTCAATGCATCAAATGGCATCGAAAGGTTCCCAACACCGAAGCCTCCGGTCAACAAAGCCCAGATTGTCAAGCTAATCAACGATGCTAAATCACCACAAACACAAATGAAGTGTCTTAGAAGACTCAGATCAATCGCTTCAACGAACGAAACCAACAAGCGTTGCATAGAAGGAACCGGTGCAGTACAATTCTTAGCTTCAGTTATCAAGCTCAACACGAACAATGCTTCATTAGAAGTATCTGAAGATGGGTTTGACCTCGCAACTTCCACTGATGAAGCCCTAAACATCCTATACCATCTCCAATTATCCGAAGCCGGCCTCAAATCTCTTACCACCGGTGACAATGGCGAATTCATCGAATCCCTATTGCGTGTCATGCAACGTGGAAACTACGAGTCTCGTGCTTATGCCGTGTTCCTATTGAAATCAATGACCGAAGTGGCTGATCCGATGCCGCTAATAAGCTTGAAACCCGAGTTCTTCGTCGAGCTAGTCCAACTCTTCCATGATCAAATCTCATCCAAGGCCACAAAATCGACACTTCAATTGCTAATCAATGTCGGTCCATGGGGAAGAAACCGGGTTAAAGCAGTGGATGCCGGAGCAGTACCGGTCTTGATCGATCTTCTTCTAGATTCTTCTGAGAAGAGGGTTTGTGAGATGATACTAATGGTGTTGGATCAGCTATGCCAATGTGCTGAAGGAAGAGCTGAGCTCTTGAAGCACGGTGCCGGGTTAGCCGTTGTGTCAAAGAAGATACTTAGGGTTTCAAAGGTGGCAAGTGAAAGAGCTGTGAGGATTCTTCATTCAATTTCAAAGTTCTCTGCAACTCAAAGTGTTGTTCAAGAGATGTTGCAATTGGGTGTGGTGACAAAGCTGTGTTTGGTGCTTCAAGTGGATAGTGGAAACAAGACTATGGAGAAAGCTAGGGAGATACTTAAATTGCATGCTAGGGCTTGGAAGAACTCTTCTTGTATTCCTGTGACTCTGGCTTCTTATCTATGTTGAGAGAGAGATATTTAGTTTTGTTGTGTACATGTGTAATTGGTTGAACATTAGAACATAGGACTATAGGGGCAAAAATTAGTGCCCAGAGACACTTGATAAATGGAATCATTCTTGCTTTGGAAAATTATACTCTGAAAATTTCTTGTTTCTTGTTTCTTGTTATTCATTTTTTATTTTGGTAGCATTTTGGTATACAGTTATACCATTTTATTAATGTGATAGATATGATATGATATTCTAATATGATAGATATTAATATGATACTCTAACGATGTGACACTCTAAAAAAATTAAAAACTCCTTTGTGTACTTTTTTTAAATATAACAACGTTGTAGGTATAATGTGACATTCTAAAACTTTTGTTTCAAAAAAAAATAATAACTCCTTAATATACTTTTTTTAAATATGACAACGTGACAGGTATGATATGACACTTCAAAAAAAATTCTCGGTGTACTTTTCTCTAACGTGACGTGACATATATGATGTGACACTTAAAAAAAAATAAGCACTCCTTAATATACTTTTCTCATACGTGACAATGTGACAGATATTATGTGACACTCTAAAAAAAATTAAAAACTCCTTAGTATACTTTTCCCAAACGTGACATGTGACACTCTAACGTGGCACGTATGATGTGACACACTAAAAAAATTAATAACTCTTTAGTATACTTTTTCCAAATATAACATTCTAACGTGGCAGGTATGATGTGATACTAAAAAACTCTTTAGTGTATTTTTTTTAAATGTGACACTTCAATGTGACGGGTAAATGAGTTACTACACATCAAAAAAAACTAAATAGATCACAAGAAAAAAATATGGGATTATATGGATTACAAGTCTAAAATATAAGATTTATTGGTCAATCTCCCTAAAATTTGTAAAAAGTGTACAAAAAATATAAAATTATTTTAGAATATGTGAAAAGGGTTTTGAAATTATAAGGGTAAATTAAAAATACACCTCCTGAAGTTTGATTAAAATACAAATCACCTCCTGTGGTTTTAAAAGTTACATTCTACTTCCTGAGATTTCTAATTTTATAACAAACCACCCATTTTATTAATAAATCATCAAGTCAATTAACAGTTTTTAATGATATTAAAAATATGTTTCAATTAATAATTTAGGTAATTTTATTATTATATAAGAAAGCAATTATGAATTTCATTTTTTTAGTTAATTCTGTTAAATAAAAAAATTCTAATGTTGATGCTGTTCGTCCCAGTGAATGGATCGGGCAGGTCCAAGCTCCTTAATCCCGCGTCCAAATGATCAAACCCACCGGATAACCTGCAGGCAAGTTCAACGGGGAACGGGGTAGTCCCCCAGCGAACTCTCCGACGAGCAAGTTAGGAAGAGAAGTAATGCGTAGAGGGAGAGATTAGAGATAGAAAGCTTAACCTTTTTCTTGTCTACAACATTTGCTTATATCCTTTGGCAATCATTTCGCTGTCCCTTCCGACCTGCTCTCCTTGCCGAAAGCCTATGCTGTAGCTTACCTTGCTCAGGGCAAGGGGGTCCTGTTCCAGCGAAGAGGTGTTGTCGTAATAAATGCTGTGATGGGCTACATTAATGGTGATGTGCAGTGGCAATAACTTTGCAAATCTTTGTCTGCTGATGTGGCTTGTCCTTCACCCGCCACGTGCCTAAATGCCGTTGGTTCTTGATGCCATATTGGATTCCAGTTGTTCTGGACTCCATCGGCTGGGTTATGCATTGGGCCCCTATCTTGTGGGCTAGAGACATGCCGCCCGAGTGATTGCCGCAGATGCCCTCATGAATTTCTTGCATCACATAAGTTGCTTGAGTCAGATTGAGGCACCGCAGATAGGAGTGTGAGAAACCACGTTTGTACAAGATGCCATCGACGAGGATGTAATTGGACGATCGTGCCCTGACTTTGGCGGCGTGCTGGTGGTCATCTGGAAGTTCCCCCGCTGTCAGAAATCGAAAGATGTCCGACGCCCAAGGGATAGGCTCATTTTGGAGGAATTGTACTTCATGCTGGTCGGGGGAAATGGCGGGGTGGGATAGGTATTCGAGGTGGACACCACTACTGAGGGCAGACTGGTCTGCGGAAGCCAGCTGGGCCATCTCGTCTGCCTTAGAATTCTCCGCCCGACGAATGTGCTTGATATGGAAGGTGTTGAAAAGGCGAACTAGGGGAAGTGCAAGATCCCTGTAAGTCCGCATTGTGCCCTCTTTGGGGTCGAATTCGCCTGTGATCTGTCTGACGATGAGCTGAGAGTCGCTGAGCACTCGGATGTGGCTGACATCAATGTCCCGGGCTAGGCAAAGGCCTGCTATCAGTGCCTCATATTCAGCCTCGTTGTTACTGGCCTCGACCAAGAAACGGACCGCACATTTGAAATAACCACCTTCAGGACTGGTGAGAATGAGGTCAGCCCCGGTACCTTGCCTGCGGGATGATCCGTCGGCGTTGAGAGTCCAAGAGTGAGGGTCTTCTGGCTCGATGGGAGCTGGCAGGGGTGGAGAGGCAGTGGTTGGGGTAGGATTAGTGAATTCCAAGATGAAGTCGGTGATAGCCTGTCCCTTAATTGCTGTTCGAGGCCGGTAAGAGATGTCAAACTGGCTGAGTTCCATAGACCACTGCATAAGTCTGCCGGAAAGTTCTGGTTGATGCATGACCTTCTTCAAGGGTTGGTCGGTGAGGACCACTATGGAATGGGCTTGGAAGTAAGGACGGAGTCGTCCAGAGGCGGTGACCAAGGCTAAGGATAATTTTTCTAACAGGGGGTAATTCTGCTCTATTCCCTTGAGAGCCCGATTGATGTAGTAGACCGGTCGTTGGACAGAGTCGTCTTCCCTAATAAGAGCTGCACTGACTGCGGTGCTTGAGACGGCTAAATAGAGGAAAAGGGACTCGCCCGTAATCGCTTGTGAAAGGAGGGGTGGATTGGCCATGCACTGTTTTAACTGATGAAAAGCCTCTTCACATTCAGTTGTCCATTCAAAAGTTTGCTGAAGAACTTTGAAGAACGGTAGGCACTTATCTGTCGCGCGGGAAATGAAACAGTTGAGGGCTGCAACTCGACCAGTGAGTCTTTGAACCTCCTTGACTGTCCTGGGAGACTGCATCTCAATCAAGGCCTTGATCTTTTCAGGGTTAGCTTCAATGCCCCGCTGACTGACCATAAAACCCAGAAACTTCCCAGATCCTACGCCGAAGGCGCATTTCTCTGGGTTGAGCTTCATTTGGTACTTGCGTAGCGTGGCGAAGGTCTCTCGCAAGTCGATCAGGTGATCAGTGGAGAGTTTGCTCTTAACTAGCATGTCGTCGACATATACTTCCATATTCCGACCTATTTGGTGATGGAAGACGGCATTGACCAACCGTTGGTAGGTGGCCCCAGCGTACTTCAATCCGAATGGCATTACTTGGTGATGGTAGGTACCTCGGTCGGTGATGAAGGATGTATGTTCCCGATCGGACGGGTGCATGAGGATTTGGTTGTAGCCAGAGAAAGCATCCATGAAGCTGAGCATTTGATGACCGGCTGTGGCATCGACCAGCAGATCTATGCGGGGCAGAGGATAGCTGTCTTTGGGGCAAGCTCGGTTCAGGTCAGAGTAATCGACACAAAGTCGCCATTTGCCATTGTTCTTGCGGACGAGGACCACGTTTGACAACCATTTAGGGTAGTTGACGTTTTTGATGAATTGGGCCTCAAGGAGTTTGTCGACCTCTGCAGCTATAAGAGTATTACGCTCCGAATAAAAGATGCGCTGCTTCTGGCGGTAAGGTCGGAAATGAGATTCAATGCTGAGGCGATGAGTTATGAAAGAAGGGTCGATACCTGGCATATCTGAATAAGTCCAGGCAAATACATCATTGTGCTCGGTCAAAAGTGCAGTAAGGTCAGCCTTAGCTTGGGGGGATAGCTGGCTGCCGATCTTAACAGTTTTCATTGGGTTGGTGGGATCGATGGGAATCTCAACGAGCTCCTCCACCGGTTCGCCTCTGACCAGTTCGTCCTCATCTCGGGCGTCAAGTCCTTCAATGATCATGGCCTCCTTCAACTTGACTTTCTTGAGTGAGGCGACATAACATTCCCTGGCGATGGTCTGCTCTCCCCGTGCTGTCCCGACCCCCTGGTCGGTGGGAAACTTTATGGCGAGGTGATAGGTTGAAGTGATAGCTTGGAAAGCGTTGAGGGCGGTGCGACCGAGGATGATATTGTAGGTAGAGGGACAGTCGACCACAAGGAAGGTGAGTAACTTGGTAGTCTGCCGTGGGTATTCGCCAATAGTGATGGGGAGGTCGATGGAGCCGATGGAGGTCACCCGGTCGCCAGTGAAACCGACCAAGGGGGTTTGGAGGGGGGACAGGCTTTCCTCCCCAATTTTGAGCTGGCGGAAGCAACTGAGGAATATGATGTCAGACGAACTACCGTTATTGATGAGAACCCGTCTGACCTTATAGTTGGAGAGAATGGCAGAAATGACGAGGGGGTCATCATGAGGATAACGGATGCCTATACAATCGGCGTTTGTGAAGGTGATGGGCTCTGTCCACTTCTAGGGCTGCTTGGAAGGTCGGTCTACCGTGTCCACTGCTTTGTCCGAACCTTACCTTATTTTCCTGAGCTCTGCTTTCTGAGCGGAGCGGGACGGTCTGCCACAAGCAAGGCCACCAGAAATGACTCGGATTTCACCAACTGGCGGAGGGGGATTACCAGGGGGCCGAGGCTGTTGTGGGAGGCGGTCATGGCCTTGGTCAGGTTGGGCTGGTTGCCGAGGTGGGGTACGTCGGCGGTTGTTCCTGAGGGGCTCAGTTCGTTGCCTCTGTTGTGGGCGGGTGTCCGTGAACCGACTGAGACGCCCTTGACGAATGAGGGTCTCAACTTGATCCTTGAGGTTGATGCAATCATCAGTGTTGTGGCCGTGGTCCTGGTGGAAGCGACAATATTTGGACTGGTCTTTCTGGTTGGAAGGGGTCCGTGAAGGCAGGGGCCATTTGAGGGGGTAATCCCGTTGGATTTGGTGGAGAACTTGTTCCATAGGAGAATTGAGGGGCGTGTACCGCTCGAACCGACCGGCGGGTCGTGCTGGTGCCGACCGGTCAGTGCGAGGAGGTCGGTCGGGATATTGGGGCGTTTGGCTGTTATACTGGGTGG